TCTTCTTCTTTCTTTTCTATTGGTTTTACTTCTTCCTCTTTTTCTACTGGTTTAACTTCTTCCTTCTTTTCTATTGGCTTAAATTCTTTTTCTTCTAGCTTTTCTAATTCTTTCTGAATAACTTCTTTTTCCAGCACTAGTTCAGTGATTGAACGTTTCCTTCTTTCTTTTTCTATTGTAATCGCATCCACTTTTTCTTCGGGCGATTCAGTCTTCTGCTCCTTCTTCTCTTTAGCTTCGTCTAGATACTTTTCTATGGTATCGAGAGATTCTGGTACTTCGGTCACTTTAACTTCCTTTTCTTTCTCTATAACTGGTTTTACATCGATAGGTAATTCTGTCTTTCCTACTTTTCCCTTTGTCTCGTGAACGAATTTTTCGTCAGCTTCGATAACGTCACTTATGGTATCTTCCACAGCTTCTTCGGCGTATTCCCGCTCGCGTGATTCGTCTGATTTTGGTGAAATAATACGCGATGTATCTTCCAAAGAAGTAACAGTTACATCGCGTACTTTATATTCTTGTTCGACAGCCTCAAAGTCGTCGCCAATGTCTTTTTCCTGTCTTTTGTCGATAATTTCTTTTAGAGATACCGGTTTTGTAGGTATTGTGTCCTCGTAGTCACGAACCTCTTTCGGTTTTGTGGAAGATTTTTTAATGATACTTACAAAATCATCTTCTTCTTCTTCTTCAGCTGACAAACAAACGGATTCTTCTTCGACGCCGAGTTCTTCTTTACGTGGTTCAGAAATTTTAGCTTCTTCTTTCGGTGATTTCGTCTCTTTTTCCTTCAAAATCTCTTTTTCTACAGGAGATTTTATTTCTGGTTTCGCGACCGATATAACTTCGATTGGTGATAATTTTTCTTCCTTTTTGTCTAATTTCGACGGTGCTTCGATCTTTTCCTCCTTCGTTTCTTCTTTCTTCTCAGCTTCTTCTTTCTTTGCTTTAGTATCAATCGGTTCCAGTTCGGAATCAAACAAACCATCAGTTTTAACATCGATTAACTTTTTAACGATAATTTCCTGGATAATACGAATTATGATCACTTTCGGCACAGTCTTTTTAATGGAAATTTCTTCGACGATTTCGATAGTTATGCATTTTCCTCTTTTAATGTATTCATTGATAATATACTCTTCAAGCTCCATTTTCAATTTCGGAGTGATAGATTCTTCCAATTTTAAGATATCAACGTTATCGACGACATCTTTCTTTGAAAGACCCTTTCGTATAATAATCTCTTCGATAATATAGATAACACGCTCCTTTGGAACACCTTTAACGATTGTAATGTACTCTATAATCTCAATAGTGATTTTCTTCTTCTTAATCACAAGTTCTTCGATAATCTCTTCCACAATACGATCTACCTTATCGACAATAGCTTTTATTTCAGCGGGTAATTTAATCGAGAGTTCAATTTCTTTACTCAAGTCCACTTTGCTTTCCTGCATTTTATCCGTAACAAATTTCGGTGAGGTTGGTGTTGAACCAGGAGAAACCATTACAATCTCCGCTTTGGCGGGAGAAATCTTTTGCTCGAAGCCTATTACAGGCTCTTCTATAGCTGTTTGAACTTTCTCCTCTTTTTCGATCGGTGATTTCACAGTTTCTTTCACACAAACGTCTTCCACCCCAGCTTCCAGTACGTCCACCTTCAGAGACAAATCTTTAACTTCGGGAGCAATCTCTTTGACATCTTTCGTCATTTCTTCGCAAATTTCCTTAACGTCACGCTCATCTTTCTCTTCTTTCGGAGATATAATTGGCTCTGTTTCTTTGACAATTTGGACACAAGGTTCTTCCTTTGTTTCTGCAACGAGTTCTTCAGCTTCCTCCTGGTACAGAGAAATTTCCTCGGTAATTCCAACTTTCGTGGGTATCATAGGAACCTTAGTTTCCGCGACAGCTTTAGGCGGCGACACAGCTTCCGCCACAGGTTTAGGCGGCGACACAGCTTCCGCCACAGGTTTAGGCGGCGACACAGCTTCCGCCACAGGTTTAGGCGGCGACACAGCTTCCGCCACAGGTTTAGGCGGCGACACAGCTTCCGCCACAGGTTTAGGCGGCGACACAGCTTCCGCCACAGATTTAAGCGGCGACACAGCTTCCGCCACAGGTTTAGGTGGCGACACAGCTTCCGTCACAGGTTTAGGCGGCGACACAGCTTCCGCCACAGGTTTAGGCGGCGACATAGCTTCCGTCACAGGTTTAGGTGGCGACACAGTTTCTTCCTTTTTGATTGGTTCCTTGAACAACAACTTGTCCGAGAAGACATCTTCTTCTTTCAGAACCTCGGCAACCTTACGCACGATTTCGGTAACATCTCTAACTTTGTCCTCGATGTCGATACCAGCTGTTCCAGCAAGAACCTCTCCAACGTCTAGAACAGCTTCTTTAACGTCTTTCGTAGGTATTTCTTCTTCCAAATGTTCAGCTTTTGGTATTTCGAATTTCACCTTTTCAGGTTCTTTGCTTTCGGGAGATGTGCCTTCGATATGTGGCTTAATCGCTTCCAGCTTTTCCACCACACCTTCCAGAGTGTCCTTAACGACATCCTTCGTTAATGGTACCTCTCGTGTCAAATCAGCTGTTTCGCCGGCGATCTTCTCTTCCAACGATTCCAAAGAATCCCGCAAGCTGTCCTTTACTGTTTTAAATTTCTTCGAAGCTTCTTCCAACAGTGCTTTTATTTCTTCTGCTTCTTCTTCGACTTCTTCTGCAAGCTGTTCTTCCTTCTTAGCTTTGATCTCGATCTCCGGTGACTTTTCCGTCTTTTCTGCGACCTCGACATCTTTCGACGGAACTTCGCTTGGTTTCGCTATTTCTTTTTTCGATTCAATTTTTTCTTCCTCAATGGGTTTCGATACCACCGACACTGGAGATTTGCTTTCTTCTTTCACAGCCTCTTTCTCGGTAGGTTTAATTTCTTTCTCTTTAATTTCGAGTTCTGTTACGTCACGTTCTGTTACGGTCACACCCTCGAGTTTTTCCTTAGCCATCGCGATGGTTTCTTCCGTGATCGAGGCAGCCCTCTCTTGTATCTTCGGTTCCACTTCAGGAACTACTTCCTGGACTTTCTCACTAGGTTTACCAACTTTCAGGAATATTTTCTCGACATCGACTTCTTCGAGCACGGTCTTCTCTTGTACCTTCGCCTCTTTCGGAGAACTGGACTTCGACGAAGACTTTTCATCGACGTCCTTCTCCTGTTCCTTCTTTGATTTCTTGGTTAATTTATCGATGCCCTTTTCAAACTTATCAGCAACCTTGCCGAAGAAGCTGAAAACTCCTTTTTGTTCCTTAACAGGTGGCGTAGGTGGTTCTTTGACTTCTTGCGTTGGTACCGGTGCCGATACTTGTGGCTGAGGCTCTGGTTCTTGCTGTGGTTGTGGCGGTTGTACCAATGCTGGTTTTTCCTCTTTGTCCTTCTCGAAGTCTTCCATTCTGTACAATTTAGGATCTACCTCTTCGTGGACTGGCAAATCAGCAACTTCGTCTGGTGTTTTTACAATGTCGCGTTGAAGACACTGTACAGCTTGACGGACATCAAACACTTGAACGTCTGGTTTTGTAGTTACTGTTGGAGGTACGGTTCGCGAAGCAACGACCTCTTCTTTAACTTTCTGTACCACATCCTTCTCTTTCACTTCCTCGATAATGTGTTTCTCGTCGATATCTTCTTTGATTTCGTCCAGGGGTATACGCTCATCTTCTGGAAGTGTCGGCGCTGTGGTTGTAGCACCAGATTCCAAAGTTGAAATTCGTTCTTGCGATTCTTCTAATTTTTCTGGTATTTGTTCCTTTTGGTCAGCTTCGGGTTTCAAATCAGTGTCAGTGGTTTTCTTCTCGGAAGAGTCCAACTTATCAGGGCTCAAACTCGAAGGTTCCTTGGTAATGTCCTCGCTATCCTTCTTACCGGAATCGTCTTTCTCTTCTGGTTTTTGTTGGATTATCTCTGCTGCGGGAGCAACTATTTCTTTAGCCTCTTCTTCCAATTGCTCCCTACGATCTGGTGACAAATCAATTGGCTCTGCCTTCTCTTCTTCGCCTTTCAATATCGTCTCCTTCTCTTCCAATGGTTTTTCACGCTTCTCCACGCTCTCGTCCTTCTCTTTCTCCTCCACTTCTTCCTCGGCACCTTTTTCCTTCACCTGCTCCATATCCTTTAGCATCTTCACCTTCTCAGATTCAGCCTCGTCCAAAATATGCTTTTGTTCACCTTCGCCGCTCTGAGTAGAGTCTTCTATATAATCTTCCTCTTTCTCAACGATCAAATACTCATCGATAAGTTCTCTCTTAAGTGCATCTTCCATGTCAGCTTCGATTATGTCATCGTCTGTGATATCTTCTTCTTTCTTGTCAGTAAGTTCCGCTGTGATTTCATCATCTCCTTCGGAACGATCATCTTTTCGTGTTTCTTCGATAAGATCTGCTTTTTTAAGCACTGCTTCGATCTCCTCGACTACTTCTCTTTCCTCCTTTAGATCAGCCAGCACTTTGCTTTCGATAGAATCCAAAGAAATATCTTCCGATTGTTCCATTAGACTCTTCTCTGCGAGTCTAACTCCTGTTTCAGCTTCAATTCCAGATGGCGTGGATACAGTCGAAGAATCGGCAGTACCTTTGTCGCTCTTCGCTTTGCGAACGACACCGTCTTTGTCAGATTTAACAGAGGTTGTTGGAGTGCTACGAGTCGACTTCGCTGGACTACCAGATACTCGAACTTTACTCGGACTAACTGGTTTTGGTCGGCGGCTAAGCGGTTTTCTGTCCATTGGTTTCGGTTTGGCTGGTACTTTGACCATGCCAGTGGTTATAGCCGATTCGATGTTCTTCTGTTCAAGTACTTTTCTATTATTTGCATCCTTAGTGCTTTTCGCTGGTGGTGCAGCTGCTGTCTTCTGGGCTTTTGCTTTGGTCACGCTCACTTTCGATATCTCCGTCTTTGTGGCAACTCCGTTTATAGTTTTCTTAGGGGTCGTTGGAGAAGATTTCACTATCATTCCAGCGTCCTTCTTTTCTACGGGAGACTGTTTCGCTTTTTTATCAGTTATCTTCGCCTTTGTTTCAATTTTTCCAGGTTTAACGCCCTTTGGTTCTTTCGATTCTTTCCTTTTGGCTACTTCTTTCGGTTTTGATTCCTTCGCCGGTGGAGTTATCTTTTCTGTTTCTTTCGGAGGCTCGATCTTCTTCTGGACATCCTCTTCGCGTTTCTCTAATTTCTCTTCTATCTTTTCTGGCTTCTCCTTCCCAACATCCTTCTTTACGATCTCCTTCTTCGCTTCCTTCGCTTCTTTTTCTATCTTTTTACTCTCCTTCTCCACCTCTATCTTCTTGTTCTCCACTATTTTCTTAGGCTTCGTTTCGGCTTTAACAGGTTTCGTAGGAATAATTGACGTTGCTTGCGTCTTTGGAGGTAATTCATCTGTAGCTTTCATTTTTATTTCGGGCGATTCTTTTTTCTCTTTCTTCGCCTCTGTGCCTAACTTCTTCGAAGCTTCTTTTTCACTGATCAGGCCCAATTTCTGTTTCGTGGGCTTGTCTCGCAGGGTAGCTAAAGACGCGGACGGCGAGAGGCTCTTTGCAGAACAAACAGGATGCTTTAGGAACTCCAGGTGTTTCAATCGTTCGAAGCCTTCGAAGATCTTCTGTTGAGGCGTACTTCCGGGAAACAATATTCTCGTGATGGTGTCTTCGGGGTTTGCGGGTTGCCAGACTAATAACGCGCATATGGAGACCAAATTCTGGATCGGGAAGGTTAAATTGTTCGAGTCTTTCTTGTGACCACCGGCAAAAAGTTTCGAATCGGCGGCGTGCCATCTCGCCAGAAATTCTTTAACTTCGCGACTATCCTTGCTGGGGCTTAACACGTACATGTCCAACGTGCCGTGACCTACTTTGTGATAGAGATTGATCGGGTCTGGGTCTCTGTAGCACGGATGCGCTCGCAGACTGATGTGACGCAGATTGACGACCATCTCTTGGCCAATATCGGTGAGATTTAGTATCAGAGGATCGATATCTTTGTCCCCGTCCGGTGAATTGGATTGTCTTCTCTCCTGTTACGCGAGAGAACGCAACATCGACAGTTTTAATAAACGGTACATTAATCAAACCCGATTAGCATATTGCGTATATACGACTCGAGTAAGAAAGCGTAGAATCGACAACTTTTTATAAACTAACGATACTTACGATTAGGTTGCAGAAGAAATGTCCGATTTGAGGATAGACGTGCATTTCTTTCTTCTTGCGGAGCACGCTGGACATGCCTCCAACATTACTATTATTTATTCTAGTAACTAAGACCGCATCGAGGCGATCCAAGTGTCTGGTAAAGTCCCAAAAACAGGCCTTTCTGGCGAAACCACCGTCCACCAACATGTTAAAACCATTTATGCCGAAGAGCGCGGCATCACCTTGACCGCCAGGGAAGACATACAACGTTGGGTGACTAAATCTTATGTTGCCTACGACATCGGATGGCTCCATAAGCTGGTCCAGTGTCTGAGCGACCAGATATTGTCCAATGTAATTCGTGAAACTCGCGATGGCTGGTAATCCAGCGGTGAGAACGTCATCGGGATTTACTCTTACTCGGCAAGGTCTGTATCATGGCAAATATAACACACATAGATGAATTATTTAAGCGTCGCAGACTCTTTATAATATTGAGATACAATCTACGTGGATATTAAAACGTTGTTCGAAATAAATAGGATACAAACCTAGTGCAAGCTTCTTTGGAAAGTCTATTTGTTGTCCAATCGCCGACACTCGCGCAATGAATGTCTACCGTGACACTGTTTTCATACGCACGAAGAACTCTTTGCACTTCGTGTTCACTGAACGCATCCAGGAAATCGGCAAGGCTAAAGGTTCCATCCTGGACGCGTGGCATTTGAACGTGATCGTTAGTTTCAGTGGAAACAGAAATGTTCGAACTATACTAGATGAGCTTAGTAATAGTTTTGCATGTTAAGTTTCTATGTTATGTTTCGCAACGTATTATGCTTATGTAGAATTGGCACGTACTTGCAGTATCCAGGAACCATTTCCACTGAAGGTATAGCCACCGTGTATAATGTGTCGGTGTTTTGTAAAGCTTGCGAGAAGGTTACGGATACATTGTAACAGTGTATTCGTTTGCGGGTGAATCAGAACTTCGGTAACGAGGTTCTCGGTAGCGTATTGGATCAGTCGTTCGCCTGAAAATTCATTTCTCTCAGCGAACGAAACGTATTACAACGATCTATAGTACGTTCTTGGGATTCGGAATGATAGCGAACGATTTAGATTCAACGATAATATTTATCTTATAATCGCGAGTTTTAATTAATACCATTTCTTGCTTCTTCCCCTTCCGGAGCTTGCGCCACCAACGCCAGTAATTCTTTTTCTAAATCTACGTGACAGCTATCCTTATCCCACGACAAGAAACCTGAAATCCAAAATTAGAAAATATTAGTCGAAAGGAAGATTACGTAAGGCTCGTGGATGTGTTCCGTTTCAATTAGAAATGTCGAAAAGTCTCTTTTATCAGGACTTAAGATCCGAAAGGTAAATGATCGAAATAGCAAGTTATAACGTCGTACACAACTACCTAAGAGTCTGCACTAGGTTGGCTTCGTAAAGTGAGGATGATTCAGGGCTGAATAACGTAAGGTGAAGGTTAAGAAATCGAGAATTGTCTTCTACTCGAACGTCGACTCGTCAATTCTATTAACGAGATGAAAGTCTGCATCATATAAAATCAGAATTTAGTAGAACCTATAACTAAACATATAGCTACTTTCCGAGCGAAGAAACGCTCGACGGTAAACGTTAATTACGAGTAATTTATCAAATATATTTTCGGTTGAGCGCATTCCCGCATTCCCACATTCTTCGCGGCTCTTTCAAGAAAATATACAACAGATAAAAGATCTCGTCCGACGTGAATTATTGTAGAAATAATTGCAAAGGGTGGACAATTGGTTATAAAGTTATACGTGTAAAGTTGATGAAACAAGTAAGATCAAAGGAATTAGACGTCGAACGAACAATCGACGTAAAGAGAAAGTAAAAAGAAAAGAAACGAATATGTCGATAGCACGAATGAAACAGGAGTTTCTATGACGTCACGAATACCGCACCCCGTCACGTGGTTCGGCGGTAGCCGGCGATCGATCGCACATCCTGCACCCACTCTCTATTGCCGTCTCTGTTACTGTTATTTTATCTTTTCTACGTGAAATCCACTTGCAGCAGCCAGCCGCTTAAAAAACAAGCATACGCGATTACATAAATAATAATAAACGAGCGTATGGTAGAATAAATCTTTGTCACAAATAAACTACAGTTTAATAATGACATTGTTCTTTAATTATGTACAGATGGATATATTAACGTTATAATCGTAATATATCGGCTAGTTTTTACTTGTCAAGCTTGCGACGAAAATCTTACGAACAAATTGAATATTACGTTTATTTCGTAGCAGTAACGAATCGAGAGAGATAGAGAAATAAATCATGGAATAAATCATCGCGAAGTGTTTCCAGTCTGCGTCGAAGCGAGCAGATAATTTTTATTACAAAGTAGAATAAGCAACGTGACAGACCAGATACCATAACTCCAAAGGATCGATGGTACGATGGTACCACCGTATCTCGATAGCGAGAGATTTTAAACTTTCAGCACGTAAAATCTCACTCGTTCGATAAACATTTATGAATAAACAAAAGTAATCATAGCGAACATGACCGACCAGTGCTTGTTTTATTGCGGGAATAAATTTATTCCGATAAATGGGATTATAAATACGAACAATGGTTCGTTCGATGAAAATTTAGAAGAATAACTTTCGGTCGAATAAAATTTGAATATGGACGTGAATGGGGAAATCGAGTATATGCTAAAAGAAGGAAAAGAGTTTGAATAATCGTTGATAATCCACGAAGAATAAATCAATGGAAAATAGTTTTCATATTTTAAGAAAGTATAATTAAAATGAATTTTCAAATCCAATTATATATGCGATAACCGTATATAACTATAATTCCTTCGAATCGCTTAACTTGTCAAGTTGAACCACAGAACCAGCAAATTCTCTATGTCAAATTGATCGGAAGCCCTGACGATGATACAAGAGAAGCCGTGCGTCGGGGGTCGTGCCTTTTAATGCGTGACGAACCCTCTACATTTTCTTTACGATATACATACATCTATATATATATGTGTGTGCTAGTAATTAGTACTAAATAGATTAATATACACGTATTAATCTATTTAGTACTAATTACTAATATCTGTGTGGTAATATATTTAGTACAATTTAATTATTATCGAACGTACGATCGAAAATCGTTTACAATATGCAAATATTACAAATGCGATAAAGCAAATAAAATTGTAGAAGATAGAACGCATTGAATTCAGCCATTGAATTCCAGCAATCGCGAGATTTTTCTATGAATTTAGAAAAATAAATGCCGATAAAATAGGAGTGGAATGGCTTGAATATTTAGTAACAGTAGCGTTTCTTTCTCTGGAGAAAATCGTCTGATGCACCTCGCGTTGATAGGTCGTAGACATGTTCTACTTAAAAACAGTATCAGTGAAAGATACAGTTAAATATAGACAGAATCATGGCTTTCTTCGTTCGAGCATTTACCCCTCTCGCAGTATCTCTCAGAATCTTAAACATTCGCCGCTATCTCGTTTCTCGATTTCTATTTAATTCCCTTCCATTTTTTCCTCCTTTCTCGTGTATTTCTTTTTTCTTTTTCTATTTTGATAAGTTTTCTTCCTTTTCTCGTCTCTTCCTGCCTGACGACGGACGCTAAGAATGTTAGGAGTTGCCTCAACTATGTTTAGACGTGGTTTTCCGTTATCCTTCGTGCAACTTACCGTTCTCGAAATTCGTACGTCTCCGACATGAACGCGAATTCGATGTCACGAGAAACGTCTGTATAATTATTCGTTAATAACATTTACGTCGTTAAAGAGCGTCGAAATGTGGAAATATTATTTTCGCGATACATCGTATGCAGTAAGACAGGATGGATCTTCACGAAGAATATAACGTAGAAGCTTTTGTCGTCTAACAGGGTCAAAAAGTTTCTTCGAAAAGTGCTGACATCATTCTTGATTGATCTCGCGAGGCGAATAAAATATCGAACGAGGTCGATAGAGAGCTGTTGTTGTAACCTGTTTCAATCGTAAGTGTCATTTATCGTCGCTTCTTTGATTAAATACGACTATAAACGTTTAACCATTTGATCGAGTTTAGCGCAAATAATACAAAACGTGTCTAGATGGAATAATAATATTTGTTACATACCATCGTGTTATTATACTTGAGATAAAATAAACAAATTACGTATGCATGTAATAAATCTTGGCGTAGTTCGATAAATTTAACAGCAGCCTATGTGCAAACTTACCGATTAACTAGTAACCAATATTTGAACATACACGAACTTGATGGAATAGCACAGAGATCGACTTAGCCCGTCCGCGGCTATTTATATTTTTAAGAGAAGGGCGAAGACCTGCTCCAAGGATTTGTTAAAGATGAGACCGAAATTTATTTCTTGCGTTTCGATATTGTCCGATAACGCTTAACGAACAACTAAATACTTATCGAAGACCATCGATGAGTATCCTTTCGCTTGGATAAAGAATATTCCATATACGATAATAATATTCAAACGTATTTGTACTTTCGGATATCGTTGGGTCGCAGCAGCGTATGCGCTTTTAGCGAAGAAATTTTAGTTAGAATCGTTATAGCGATACGCGTGTACGCCTTTTTATAAAAAAGAAAAGCATAGATAGGATATATGAGATAATACATAGTATTGCAGTTATAATATTGTGTATAATGTGACAGAAATATGCGATAAGAGAAAGTAAAAGAAGGTAGAGAATTATATATAGAAGTCTGAAAATAAAAATCTCTTTATGCAGTTGCATCGTTGCATATCGTTAGCGTCCTCGTTGACGATAAGAAGCACTCGAAACGGAACAAAGGAACGAAGGGAAAAGAAGGAGAAAGTACGAGCATGCGAAAAAATATTTTTATATTATAACTGGACGAATATCGATGCTAAGTATGCTATTTGGTGTAAGGGTCAGGTTCAAGAACGAGGTAATCGAGAAACAGAGTTTCACGACTCGGAAAGCACGATGCACCAGAGAGCAAATCACTAGCGAATGCCGTGATAAAATTAGACACACTATATTCAGTTGCGCGTACGACGAAATTGTAAGAGTCTTCTGAAAAAGTTTTCTGGAAATTGGCTAAATAGCATCTTGCTTCGACGTTTGCATCGACTGTCGCAAATATTCTTGAGAAATCAATGCTTCGATTCCTTTCGATGTTCGATAGATCTTTTATTACGCTGTCGACAATACGCGCTGTGTTACGCGAGATCGAATACTCTCTCTTCCGAATACCTCGACGTTAGAGTGTCGGTTTAATTGTTTGGAGAAACCGTGAATATTTCACTAAAATAAAAATTGTCGCCACGGTGAAAACAGTAAAAGATCACGCGCCTACAGACGCCTGAATGTCTGGCCGAACCACATCTGGCTCAAAAATCATAGCGGTGCGAGTCAGTTCGCTGTTATGCTTCATAAAATAGCGTTCTACGTTTATTATCATAAGAAATTCATTATATTCTTAGAAAGTAACGGATGAAGTTGTACCTAAATTAACTATGAAACTAGATGGATGACACACGCTGGCTATAAAAAGTCTATGCACGTTCCCTTATTTTCCGATTGTTATATTTGATACTGAATGCTTCTCGGATAGTACCTTTCTAATAATATGAAAATATTATTGAATTACACAAAGTTTTGATATACCTGGTACTAATTATTAATATGCAAATGCTATAATAAATACCACGGTATATAGCAAATACATTTTCTAACCACCGTATAAAAATTGAAATATGTTATTAATTTGAGATTCTAGAAACTCGATTCACACCACTTTGGTTTTCAGTTCACCATATGTGAGTACAGGTGCATGTACGTGCTTCGTTCCTCGTAATTGGATAAACAGCGTAATGCGGTTGGAAAAGCACGTATGCAAATTTCGCCATTTGATTGAACGGAACCCTCTATGCGCAAGTTCTTCCGGATATTACAAGCATCGAATAACTCCAACTTTCGCGATGCTCCCCACGTCCTCAATCATGATTCATACCGACAAGTATGCCTTCCTATCTTACGTATGTGTGGTTACTCGTACAATATCTGTAAATATACGCGCGTACATGTATTTGTATATGCATTATCACATTAATCTTTTACGAGCATATTACCATGTATTAACTCACGCAAATGTTCACGTACGACGATTCGCATACTCCATAAAAAATTATCAGTTTCTAAAGCAGATACACGATTCATAAATCAAGATATCACGCGAATATTCTATTAATACTGTTTTTCAAATATTCATATCTTTTTCTATATAAGTTTTTATAACAAATCATCGTATTTGCTGAGTATTGATATAGTCGCGTTCTTCTCTATGTACTTTCGGCAAAATTTAATTTAAAACTCGACTACGTTATCAGTATGTCAAGTTTATTCTCGTTTTTTTATTCGTAACTCCGGTCATGTGTATCGAGAACGAGGCACAATAACATTGTCAAAAATAGTGGACGAGTCAGCATTACATTTAGGTTCTTCGAAATAAGCAGATGAATGAATTCATGTCTCGCCTTCTTTCCGCTCTACCAATCCTTCCTGTGATGCGTCTACGCTCTACACGGGCAACCCATGACTCACATGAAACTTGCTAACGCGTATACCATACCCATTGCATACGAAATTACCCATACGAACTCACGTATAGAAGGTACAAGAATTCTGGTTGTAATCGAAGAAATCTACTTAGAATTCCAAGATATTTGATCGGATGCTCTATCGAACAAGCTATAGCTTTCTTATACTCGGAATCTTCCAAGAATTATATAAATTTCTAGCTCGTGTTCAAATTATACCCTCTGTTATCGTAACAACATGGCAGTACTTATTTCTGATTCTTTCCGACCTGTAATCTTTTTTAACGTAATGAATAATAATGATCATCTCGCGTGCGAAAATGATCTTCAACTAACAATTAAAACGCTTACACTGTTCCAAACAATTTCAATCTGTTTTATCTACTTATCTGATTTGCTAATTTTCTAGCAACTCTTTTCAGAAATCAACGCATCGCGTGCACTCGTTTCAGCCCAATTTTCATTCCCTGTCTTTGCTTCTGTATACGTCCGTATGCAACATACAAGCAACCATTGTTCGTTGAATTACATCTCAAAATGATTTGAAAAAATTGTCATTATAGTTTAGCGACGATTTTCGTTATATACTGTGTAGATGGATTATTGATCCAAGTTCTGGTGACTGCGGGGATGTGGCCGTAGGCTGGTCTAACATGCGCATGCCGCATCAAACTCACAAATACAGATTTTTCCCTTCATCCACTATTTTCTTTCTACCATTCGCTTCTTCCTACTTTTATTTCCCGTCGTAATGAATCTTTCCTTTAGTGCCTTGACTCCTTCACGCCCCATTTCTTAATCACCGTTTCCTACGCGTTTCTCCGTGTCTTTTCCACATTCTTGATAATTTTTGATAGTCGAATGCTCGAACTGAATTTCACTTCCGTTAAGGAACAATCTTGTCGTTCAATCAACCATATATGACCTGTTTCGTACACGCGAGACATGCATGAAACGTTTTATAATGTTACCAACATTTTTCACGTATATGCATGCATATATATGTATATATATATTTGTAATTTTTCGTTCCACTGATGAAAATTTGCACGATAGATTTCAATTTTGCATTGAAATTGTATAAGGAAACGGAAAGGCGTTCTGAACTTTCTAGAATAAGTTGAAGATAAATCAGTGACCACGTTTGTCAAATTTTGTAAATAATATTTATACCACGATGTATTTGATAAAATAAAATTAAAAGTAGAAAGTAATTCGTGGCTAAGCGTGTCTTAATCGTATATAAGCACGAACTAAACCATAAAGTCGGAGTTCACTCGAATAGTAGGAAAATGGGTTAGCAATTAAACCATTAAAATCGCGAAATTTGGAGAACCATAGGACTCCTATCGCTTCTTAAAGGTTGACAACCAACAGTTAATGACGTATAGAGGTACCATTCGATTTCCTTACTAACCAACGTCCGCTCAAACTCCGCCTAGCAACAAGGGGGACCTGGATAAAGTTGTTGGGTAAGCTTGTCCGATAAATCGGAAGGAATACGCACAGCGAAGAAGAACCGTTAGCGCCTGGGTTCATGTGCGGAACTAATACCACGAAATATGTATATGAAATCATAATTGTTATCAGAATCTCAACCATACACTTTAAATACTTTAACAATACTCTCTCATCTATCAACGACATTATGTGCTTTTTATTGATAAAACAATATTCTACATTGACGCTATTCTTATCTAGATTAGAACGAAAATAAAGAGGAAGAAAAAAAAAAGAATCTAAAGCCGCGGAAGCGTTTGATCGAGCGTATTTCGATTTTTATTTGTTAACTGATTTTAAAATTGATATCAGGCATGCATTTGGATGTTATAAATCCTAAAGACGATTTCTCAATGGACATCGTATTATATTACATTGATTATCGGTTTAATCGAGTTGTACTTACCTTTTGCGAGACGATTTAAGATGAGATCTTTATGCTGCGTGGTATGAGGCTCTGGAAGCACAACGAGAAGGTAACAACCACTTAGTGGTGACGGTGGTGGATGCTGTTGTTGAGAGCCTGGTTGCACCGCACTACCGGTCACCGGTATAATCGGAGATACATTCTGTTCAATGTTTGGTGATATCGTAGTCGTTGCCCCTCCCCCTCCGCCCTCTCCAGTAGGATCCGTGGTACTCATTGCTGAAACAGAGGCGAACCAACTAAATTAGGTAAGAAGGAAGCTTATTCTTCGCCATTACTAATTGCAATTGCTAGATCCGAATAAAGAATAGTTTTTATCGGTAAATGTCTCTTCGAGGAAAGTTTGTCGATTAAACACGTTAGCCGGATAAAATCTCCTATGTATAATTCGCGATTTATCTACAAACCGATTGGCTGTCGCTTTCGCTAACAGTTGTCAGATATGATGACATCCGATATATGACATCATACTAGAGCTGACCCATACTACTGTTATACTACTTTTATGTTTGGCAGCTATACGATGATTGATGATCGCCAGTTTAACACCATACGTGCATTTCGTATACGATGTATATATAGAAACGTAAAAAGCTTTAAATGAAAAAAAAAAAAAGAAAATGTCAAATTGATCGTTGCCAGGTAACTGCAAGGTTGCAATTTGTCCCTCTTTATATATTCGATTCTTACGATGATTTTACTTCTACCTGTATCCCCAATTATATACAGCCGAAACATGAGCATGCTAATAAAAATGTTTTCACGCAAAGTATGATCACTTTAAAGATTTTTTTTCATTTAACACAAATTATTTCACTACGCGAGAAGAAAGAGAATAAAAATGCGATCGAGATATCCATCGAGATTCGTGCAAACGTGAATGCACATTTTAGAACGAAATCTTACCGAGGCAACAAAATTTCGAAGAGATTTTATGAAAAGGTCACCGCGTCGTCACACCGCAATTTCATGCGGACAGTGTTGGCGTTAAGTATTGCGCAGGATTTGCACGACCCTTTTCCTGAAAAGCGGTAGGGCTATGTCCTATCGCCGAATGCGCAGGATCCGAGCTTCTCCGTACAACATTAGATCATTGATCCAAATTCGGGCTAGCTAACTACAAAACAGGGCATTAAACACCTATTTTTAATGATGAATTTTAATAAAAAAAAATTCTATTTCGTCGAAAAATAGCGAGAAATAATAAGAGGCTGTAAATTCGGAAAATCACGGACCGGACTTAAAAATCCGATGAGTAGTGACAAAAATGATAACATTTTTCATTTGTCGTTATTAATACATTTCGTAGAAAAAAATAAAGAAAAAAAATAAAACACCTCGTGTCATGTTGTCATTCCCCGCACGATATACAACACTTTACTCCGCGACATTGGTATAAGAGTGTCAACCGGACAAGCGAGTATCGGCACTGCAGTCTACCCCTTAGTAACAACCCCTCCCGCAATCCACCTAGCCGGCCGATAAAATCTATACATAGTTCACCAGAATGTTATTAAAAGTTTCGTGAAATTCAAATCCCTACCATTCTCGTTTATCAACTAATTAACGCTCACACCGAGAATCTTCTAATAATATGTTTTACCAGCTTACCTCGTTACGTGACACGATTATCCAGTTTTAATTGTTCGATCTTTCGATATATGTAGAATCCAGGAACGGTATTCTTTCCACGTAGAAAACAACGTGAATAATATCCGTCAGAGAAGCAATCGAAAACAGTCTGTTATCTTAACAGGCTACTTCTTCGTGTGAACGCTTTAATTTCTCCGTTTCTTTCGTATTCGATGTTGCGTTTAAAGACCGAGAGATATAGAGAGAGAAAGAGAGAGAAAGATAGAAAGAAAGAGATAGAGAAAAGAGAAAGGGAGAGATAGGTTAGCAAAAGAGGGGCAAATGGAGAGCGACAGGAGACCGAGTAGTTCGCGAATACGGTGGCAAAGAGGGTGGCGTGAGAGAACCGTTGTAGGACACAGCGACACTAAACGTAGATCGGAACGAATACGAGATGATGCCTGTCCCTTCTTTATCTAGGGACGGGGTTAACAACGATTCCGTCGTTTCCGAGTTTCTTTACTACGAATTCACGAAATGTCTCTTCTCTCTGTCTGTTTCAATCAAACGATATTTCAAACTCGAATTGACTCGGCAGCAACTCTCGCGTTGCGGGCTGCCGGCTCTCTAACAGACTGCGATACCCTTTGCCGCTACCATGCAAAGACACCCCCTCTCCAAGGATCGTTCCGGTATCCCCACTAGCGATGCGCACTGGCTCGGTTGCTTTAGGTTCGCGCAGTTCAGACTGCCCGTAACGTCTAGTCATTCGGTTTTCACCGACATACACACGGACACAACATCTCCACGGCATCGGAAACGTCGCAATGTAGGCCCATTTAGGTGTATAACGGGGACCATGCTATATACATGCACAGACTTTGTATTACATACTCGAATAGCCAGGGGTACGACATCGTACCACTTTAGTTACACGTTTGCACGTGTGTGTGGCCATATGTGTATATCTGTATGTGTGTGACTGACTGACACGACCGGCAAGCCGGCCGGCACGATGTCGGAAAATGCCGGTACCGAGGGAAAGGACTCCGGCACCGGAAAACAGAGAAAACTGGGAAAGTATCACCGAGACTTGGAGGTCAACGTTGGTCATACTCTGCAGTACCGGGTGCGGTTATTTAAGGGAAAATGTTACGTGGTAAAATAATGACTGGCTAAGAAGCACGCGATACATATGTCTGCCATTGCGCCGGCCGGCATGCCGTGGGAAATTAAGGAACCGTTTCTCATTCGTTATTTACGTTCGTGGCAATAATTATGTCGAAACGCTTGTTAAAATGAGTAACGATGATTAGAAGTACCATGAATATTCAAAGTTCGTATTTTATTCTTTAAAATGTTGACATGTATTGAGGTTTTTGAATATATTACTTCCTCAAATTATCAGTGGGAAATTATTGTTACCACGCTTTAAGTCTCACGCAAGTTTAGGCATAATATTGACCTTTATTCTTGTTAGAAGATATTCAAATTAAACTAGATACTGCATGTGTGAAATTGGCACATCTTCACCAGCATGTAATTACTATGTATGACCGTAATTTATACTTATTATTCTCTAAAACAAACATATAATGATGCCAAAATAACTATAACATGTCACGTCTGATGAGTGGGCCACATATGTAGGTATACTATTTGTCGCACTGCAGGGAGGATCTGTTCCCGTAATTCTTATCGCTTTACTTCGTCGTCCATTCTATATCACTAATACCTTTCTCTAACTTTTTTCTCAATTCCTTTTTCGAACAAAACATAGAGCTTAAAATAGTTAAAATTCCTTCACTACATATGTACATTTATTTCCATTTTCTATTAATTTTTTATCGAAAAAAAGTAGCAGACTTCCGTGGATGGGACAAATAATGGTTTCGATATAAAATGGAAAAATGCTCGATTGAACATTCAGATAAAGCCCCCAAAAATATATTTTTAAAAATAAGAAATATTTTACGAGCAGTTGTATTATCAATTACGTAATGAAGCCGCTACAGACATATACGTATATGAATGCATATAGCTACAACTGCAGATGTGACCTCTGTTATTTGGTCAGTTAAATTTATTTGGTTGCCAAACTTTTAAAAATTCGTAAATTTCCTAATAATTGAAACATATATAATTATTTGATAATATTTATAATTTTATTGGTTTGCAGATGAATAATTATTTCTATTTATTGTTCAGTAATTTTGAATCTACTAAAACGAGGAGGATCGTAAAGAAAAGAAATAATGTCATCAATTAAAATGTTTGTTGATCGCACGGTCGATATATCGATTCGTTGGCCGTCTTCGATTGCCGCATTGCATCTCACAATCTTCAACCCTGTATCTATGAAATATCGTACCCGATTGATGGTATATTTCTCTTCCAATTTTTTCAAAAACATCAGTATTTCATAATTATCTATATCCTTTCTATCTATTCAAATTTTTCTCGTTCCGGTTTTAGTTAAGAAATATTTATCTATTAATTTCTTACTATTCTTTGTTTCCTCACATTACTGAATATATAACTATAAAAAGTATATATATATATATAAATATATATATACACACGTACACATGCACCTATACATAAATATAAAATATAACGTGTATATTTCATTTGTAAAAAAAATAGTTGCACAATGTGTTATTAAGAAGAATTATATATGATGTATTTAGTATTTCAAAGTAATAGTAGAACATTGTTATTTTCTCCTCTCATTAACTGTCCCTAATTTTCATGCTATTTTCATGTCAAAATATAATTTCGAATAGAATTCGAACGTGATCAGGGTACAAGTCAGAAGTTTTACAGTGCTGGCCATAGTGCGCGGCGCTAGTATTGAGCGGCATCCCTTACTAACCGTGTTGAGAATATCAGAAACCAAAATATAGCATCTCTTCAAGTCGGATACTGTCTCTTGTCGTAATGACGATGCGCCCTACGTTCCGCACTTATTCTACGTCCCACCATGTCAGTGACGTAGGTAAATGCGTTCACACGCGAGACATCGCGACGACACATGTGACGTTTCGACGCGCATGAAACGTAGATACGAATCAATTTACGATATCTACTCTAACGACATAGATATATGTAAATCAATTAAAATTATTTCACCTTCCACTCTTCAAACCGTTCGTATTTAACAAACATAATATCTAAAAAAATTTTCTAAATGAAAGTGTTTAATGATATATTCGACTAGAAATGCAATTCAATCTGAACATATGTATCAAAGAATGAGCAATTTAGTGGGGCAGAATAACGAAAAAGTAAAGAACGTACGTTTGAAAGTACCATCGCGTATTGAGATGCATACGTAAAATTTCTACTCGATTCTACAGTAATTAAAATACTAATTAAAGAGTCCGTGACTAAAAACCTGGCGAAGCGTATTAAACCACTAATCTGCTCCGTTCAGAAACCGTTCAGTAATACGAAGATATATATACGTGCGCTTGTGCTTATTAATTGCAGGTACCTTAGCATTTGCATCAGCATCATTATTACATCGTTCGAATTATTTTACACTTGGCATCTTCTACATTACAGTCTGTAACGCGGTATATTCAGCAGCTATAACGTCGATGGCCTCCTTTTAAAGATTTCAAATTTTTCTCCTGCGATAAAGCACGTCTACCTCTTGTATCGTCTGCATAAGAAACATTAATAGATTCCTACTTTAACTTCCTACTTCTTGCGTTCTGCTTAAATCAAACAAAGGTGCCAACTTACTGCCATTAAGATATTACGACGCTTTCTTTATACTCTCCGATACAATTATAATTACATTTTTCATATGCTGATTGAAGATTAACGACTAGTAATTAGCAGAATTACATAACTGGCTTCGTTCTCGTTATCCAAAAGTGTTGGACAGTTTACAAAAAGTAATTATCATTGTTTAGCAATGTCTGTCAATATTATATAAAAATATATGAGAAAGATAAGTGATCCCAAAAGCGCAAGTTTAGCCAAGACAGCAGGGCAGGGCGTTCACGAGGCGCCACGACGACGGCGTCTCATCGATCTGACTAGCCGAATACCGCAGCCACTTACAATATACACAGAGCGTATACCAATGCCATAGAAAATCCACGTATCTGCAGAGAAAACTGCCAACTACTGCAAACAGTACGCTTGTGCCATCATAACATTTTTAATCGTCCACTTGTTTCATTTCCTATTTGACAAATTTATTGTCTTTCATATAGAGATAAGTTACTACTTCTATAAAAACTACATACTAATATTCTCATTCTTCTCCCGTTTTACATTTTCCTTTTCTTTCCATAAATGTTCCGTTTAGCAACACTGAAGCATATAACATATAATAAAAGTATAAACATTCCAATAATTTACCAGATATACATAATGAACTAGGAGAAAGGCACAAACATGAAAAAACGATTGTAAAATACTGAATACCTGCATTTTATTGAAATAAATTTCTCTTTCATAATCTCCACGATGATGATAATATAATGTTACCTGTGCTGAACAGTTAACAAACGAAATAGAGCAAACACGGGAAATTAAAAATTACCAAAGCAAATACAATTAAACGAATTAAACAAAAAGAAAGAAAAACATACATCTCCTCAATCAATTTCAAATGATTGATTACAGAGACAAAAATTAAATATATTGCGCATTTGGAAATTGTCATAAATCTTTTTCATCTTACCAACGATTGAAAAATATTCTACAGGGACTTAAAATTTTGAACAATCTTTTCTAAGTAATCAATATATCAAATGATTAATAGTTCTATAGCGTTTTCCTCTTCTTTTTCGACGAACACAGTGCCATCTTGTGCTTAACCGTAAGTTTCAGCTAGTGCAATCATATGATTGTACACTAGTCGTACTGTTTGTGTGTTGTGTAAATGTTAGACGTGAAATAGTGTTTTTAATTATTTAATAATATTATAATTGTACAGCGTCTTAAATACGAAAGAATTAAGAATAAAATGGCACGATAGATTTGTATCCATTTTCCTGTACCGTGACAAAGTCATATAGATCTCACGAAAATGACAAGCAAAGATAAAGAGACATTTTGTAAAAAAATGCAGAAAGCCACTAGAGAAATTCATTCAATTAGTGACGCATTAGTAAATGCAAAATTAGCGTTTGGTAAAGCACAATCTTTTTAATTAACGTATCAGTGAAATTTAAATTTTCATTTTTTCATATGTTAATAGAAATGACATGTAATATAATATAATATAACAATAAATTCTATATGAATTCTATTAAGTAATGCAATGAATATTTATTCTAAGATCATTGTGCAATAAACTAATGATAGATTACATAAAACTTAAAATCAAATGATATCAAATTAAAAATGACAAATATCACTGATTTTAAATAGGTATTCTTGAGGATTCTGTATGGGCTGATGGTCTTCTGGTTTTCTATGAAATTTTTCGATATTTGGAACTTGCTATGATCAGATGCAAACATACAAAAGTAGGATCACTTTTACAGGACGAACTTCGTCGTACCGAGGCGTTTGAACATGATCTTGAATTTTATTTGGGGAAAGAATGGACAAAAAATTACAGTCCTAGGTAAATTCTTTTGTATTATTTTTATATTTCTACGTACATACGTACTTTCAAAAAAGATTAATATGTAATTAATTTACTATCGGTCGCTGAAAATATTTAAAGGCATTCGTGAATCATTGACAAAATCGATAGATCCTCGATCTAAAATTTGGTGTATATTTAATATCTTTTCCAGGGATAGTGTTACCAAATATTTGAACCATTTAAAAGAAATCGAAAATACGGAACCCATTTTACTGATTGCATACATTTATCATCTGTACATGGGTCTTCTAAGTGGTGGGATTATTTTGCGCAAAAAAAGACAGGTTATGCAAAAAATTTGGCCATTTAGAGGATCTCGAGCGATTGTTAACAATATTACAGACTTTGGAAACAGTAATATTTATGAACTTAAACGAAATATGCGCGATACTATGAATAATATCGCAGAAACGTTGGACGAAGATACAAAAAATAAACTTATTGAAGAAAGTAAAACGGTGTTTGCATTAAATAATGAGATTATAAGAAGTATAGAAGGTACAAGCACTGTCCTTGTGAAAAAAACGATGTATTTTGTTATCCCTGTTATGATATTTCTTTTAGCCTTTTTTATATCTTTGAAGAAAGTATGATAAATATATATCCGTTTTAAACGTAGATTTTATTTTATTTATATAAGAATAGTTTTTAAGTTTGATTTAGATATCTCTCTTATTAAACATGCGTTCAACACGTGTACATATAAATACTCAACTATGGTGAAACAATCTAGTTATAAAATAAAAAAAATTAAATACCCTCTGTTGATCTTTCAGAGATCATTTCATAATTTACTAATTTAAATTAAAGCGAAATATACAAGATATTTTATTACATAAAAAATAAGTACCTATCAAGTGAAAGTAAACACATGTATATGTATATTATTTCGTTGATTTCATCACATATCTAAGCGTATTTTTATCGTACTTTTATTTAATATTCTGTTGCATTTCATTATAGTAGTAGGCTGGATATATAATAACAAAAAAAGTCCTTAAATATCTAATAAGTAAAAACTAGTGATGTATATACCTTGTACTCTGTTATAATATCTGACAAGATCGTTTGAACACCAAAACCAATATGCTGAGAAACATTTATGATCTCAAACAAATGTTTAAAATCATATTTAATTATAAATCTTTGTACACTCTATCATCATTTAAACTTATATAAATATTCTAAAAATGTATGCACAAAAAATGTACAACCATCGCGATATAACCCTGCTGAGTATGACTATGTCTTCTAAAATCATTTTAAAATAATTTTATAAACAATCAAGTATTGCTTGTTTGTCAAATTTAAAGTTTGCCCAAGTCATTGAATAATATTCCATAGAATGGTTTTGGGCTTTTACATGATCTATTGGGAAGAAACGCGATGCGTCGTGATTCATTAGCACAAACGGAGAAGGTATAGTTTTTAAATCTGCTTGCAATTTATTTGCTGCTTTGCCAAATAATAAAGATTTTAAATTTCCATCGGGAAATTCTGCATTCCGAAATTCTCTGGATATTTGATCTGTAAATCAATAAAATTCTTCATTATATTACACAATCTCTTAAGCTTACAACTAGAACTAATTACAGTATTAAGCACCAAACCTTTTGATTCCATAGTTAGAACTTTAGCTTGAGCTTTATAACTAAATTCATTGCATTTTACAGACTGGATAGCTGGATCCATTAAAAATGAATATGATTGTTGATTTTGTGGACTGTCGGTTAATTGTTTGGCGAGTATGGCTGACGTTTCATCTTCATTCTGATCCCCAAATAGATTACGTTTGATCGCTGCTTTGGTCATGACATTTTTGCAATCATGTACGCTACGTCGATTCCTTGCTGGTGAAGTATTACATTGTCGAAAGTTTTTAACGTCTTTGAAGCTCGGAATATCGTTCTAGAAATAATTTATAGTTACATTAAAATTATTTTCAAACACATTAACAGAAATAGGCGATTAAGCAACAGATAGTTCAATTACCTGAACAGAATGAGGAAGTAATTGCCGTTTATTCTTTGGAACAGTGTCAACGTCACCCAGAGATTTGTGTCTGTGTCTTCGTATAGTGTTTGCATTTTTCTCACGTAAATGTTTCTCTTGTATCCAACGTCTCATTCTCCTATTTAAAAATTATAATAGCAAAATAAAATTTTTGAAGCACATCTTCATTATACTTTTTATTCTTTTCTAACATCTAAACTAATTGCTTTTTTAACAATGTTGTATATATGAACAAGGACATGACATCATGATATAAAGGATAGTAGATAATAATGTATACATCATGTCAAAATAACTTTTATCTTTTAGGCTTTTGAAATAATTTATTACCTTACAAAAGGAATAACCATGAAAAATGCATTTGGACCAACTCCTGTTTTTACTTTTGGGGTCATATCTTTCTTGTTATTAGGTAAATCAGCAAGAGAGAACCATTCTACATTTTTTATTTCTTTCCTTGTTTTTGGTTGAAATTTCGTATCTTTTTGTACACCACATATTATGTACAATCTTACCAATTGCTCATTTATTACCGATTCAATGTATTCATTTTCATCTATTAAATTTGAAATATCAAAACCAGTTTCTTCCAAAACTTCTCGAACAGCACAACGAGATGGATCTTCATCCTCGTTAACTTTGCCTTTAGGAAAACTCCAACTACTTTTTGCCCAATAACTTTGAACAAGTAACACTTTAGTTAAATCTTCGTTCAATACAATCGCTCCAAAGGTTGGAACATTTTGTTTATAATCACGCCATTGTTCAAGAATACTATCTATGTTAGCTACATGAGGTTTTAGAAACGGTATATGAAAAAAAATATGCGTGGCAAATTCTCTCATGCTACATGGTCTCAACTTTGGATTTTCATCTGTACAATAAAAATCCAAATAAAACCAATGAGCTAATTCGATTTGAAAACATATTCGAACTAAATCTTTCCTCTCTTCTTCAGGTACGTTGATAATAAATCGACTGAAAATATCAAAATCCCAAAATACTTTCAATACAGGATGAAACAATGTGAACGAAGTTAAATAATGGTATGAAAAAAATGTTTTTTGAGAATTAAGTGTAAAAATTAACCTGCTTAAATCGTCGAGTATGTCGGATGGTATTGAATGATCCACCATTTCAGGAATTAATCATACAAAAGGAAATTTCAATATTCTCTTTTATAATAAAACTTTGTAATCGCAAAGTACACACACAATCATCGTATATAATCACACTTCAAACGTTATCATAAACTATCTCAATCGAGTTCATTTATACTTTATACCATTCCATTCTCTTTTTCAATTGATTCGCTCTATGATGCCATCTAACCTCCTTTCTGGACATTCCTATACCACGGTCGTATAAAAACATGTTTACAAAATTACGCGAACATGATCCGCAAAATTTGAGAGTGAAATATATAATATTTAACAAGTTTAATGATAAATAATATTTCGAATATCCATTCGTAACAACATTTATTTAATTACAATTTAATTTTCAAACTCGTCTAAGAATACAATTAATTTGTATTGCTCTTTTATTTTTTGTAAATCACTTAAAAAGATTCATTTTTTACAAGTGTATATACATACATACATATATATATATGTATGTGTACATAATGTTAATTTATACATTTGTGATATGGTTCACTAATTAATTAGTTTAAATATTTGCTCTAATATATATTCTATGCTCTCATTATTATTTATCACTTTCAAATCCCATATATCTACATCATCCAAATTACATTCAGTTTCTGAATCATCAATACCTGTAAAGTATACTTTATAGTTAATAATGTAAATACATGCAAATATAATCATAATCAAACTTCCATTGTTTCGTTCAACAATTAATTTTTGTTACCTACCTGGGGTAAACAACCAGCCACGTTTGTTTCTAATTGAATCATCTGATTCAATGCGAATTATTTTACATATATTTTTAAAATTTTCCATAAACCATTGTATATCAGTTTTTCTTCTTGTATCACTTACTATCCATATAGGTTTGCTATATGCTAAAACAAATTGGCATATGATATTGTATAAAATATTAATTTTTAATATAAAATCATTTCGTACCGTTATACATTTCTAGAGCTGCACGACAAAAATAGCCATAATCTTTGTTCCTGATGTTTTCTCCCCATTTTGCCATTTCAAGGCGATAATTTTCTTTGTATTTTCCATCTCCTAAAAGTTGATCGATATCCAGACCAAGAGATTTAGCCCAGTGAAACTTAATTGGTCCAGACAGTCTTATAATTTCACTCTTATCATGTCCAATTCTATTAACAAATAGATCATTCAACATGATAAATTAACATATTATTATTATTATCACAATCATATTGTTCTGAGTTATTTTATTATGACTAGAAGCTAATCACCTTTCGTGCAAAGCATTTGTAATATAATCTTTCCCAGATTTTCTTTTACCACTGAATAATAAAATTATTTGTGGTTTGAATGTTCCTTTATGGCTTATTTCACGATTATCGGTAATATTGTCAGTCGCCATATTGAAATCGCACTACTTCACTTAAGTATAAATTTGAATATTAAAAGATTGCATAATTGTTCGTTCAAAATATCAAAATTTATTACTTTATATAAATAAACTTACATATATTTATTACAAATGCACAATGCTTATTGACACAACAAATATGTTTCTGATTTCTTCTATTAAACACCCAAATACTCCTAACTTCTAATACGAAATGAGAAATTAACATACTTATAGATAAACTCATTTAAATTCTAGGAAGTATAACACAAAATCAAAGTGCACATCCGAAAAAAAAGAACAATAGCAAAAAATCTTTGAGTGCAAAAGGTAAAATTCAAATGGACATTTTCAAAAAGGTGCAATCTCTATGAGTTGGCACTTATTATTAATGGAGTGTATTAATTGAAGAGCTTGGGAGATTGACTAATGGAATCGTTGTGTTCTTTAAGCTTTAAATGACGCACGCAACTATATAGAATTTAGGATCTATCTGTATATTAGTTACGAGTCAGAGAATTATAAAATATGTTTGTTTAATAGTTTTTAAATTTTTTTTATTACAATAAAATCATATATATATACAGGAAAGTTATTTTTTAGCTTCACGAAGAGCCTTACGTTTCTCTGCCCTCTTCAATTGTTCTTTGGGTTTTAAATTGTGCTTCTTCGCAAAGCGTTGGTTTCTCAAGAATTTTAAATCCATCTAAAAAAATGTCAAATGTCATGAAGTTATATTTTGATTAATATAAACGATGTTACCGATAAAACAAATCTTAAAATCACAAGAGGAATTTCTTGATAACATAACAAGCAATTAGAGATTCTGTTTATGATTAAAAAAGAAAAAACTGTTATTATTATTTAATAAATTTAAATCTTACACCAAGCGTAGATTCATGCCTGTAACGTTTTGGTTTTTTGATACCATTACGATGAGCTTTACGATCTACAAACCAGAAAGAACCAGGTAATGTTACATTTCCTATTTTACATTTTAAGATAAATGAATTTCACTTTTCATGCTTCATAATTATTTACACTTACTTTGATTATGATTGGTATGATTCTTGGATTTTGCCATTTTTCTCTGTTAATCAATCTAGAAAAATAATAGCTTTAATCAGTTACAACATAAAATGTCATAAACAACCTTTGAGGTTAAGAGTTTCTTTGAAAATAGGATTATATTCTGTCATGAATTGGGAAAAAAGACTATGAGAAATTAATACAAAGTATTTTTACTCAATTGTAAAAAATAATATAATAACATAGTTATGTCATTTACATAGAAGATGATTTAGATATAATAAATTTATAACAAACCTACGGAAGTTCTTCCACGCGTGCTTGAAAGCGGAAGTCTAAAGTGAAAAGAGGCAGAGTCGTAGTGTGAGAACGACACTAGCGCCAAATATACATATTTCTCTTGCGCTATTTCTTTTTCTTCTTTCTTTAAAGTTCAATTTAATAACATACGGTCTTCAAAAACGATAAATGAGAAACGTAATAATATTAAATATATTTAGTTATTTTAATATCTTTATAGTACATAACATTTTTTTAACGAAGTTGACAATGGCTTAGTTAAAGCTGAATTGTAATACTTTAAAGTGTTCTTTGAAACAAGTAACATTTAAACATTATAAAACATTTTATACGCATGATCATTTTCTATTTTATACAGATATATTTTCATATTAATATATTCACTACTTATGTGAAAAAACACAGACTAGCATTAGGACTAGCGGCACAGCGGTTTATAACATTTTATATTATATATCACTTTGTTATTTACAGTTATTTAATGCTTCAATTCTCTAAACAAGCGCACGTATGCTAAAATATATGTATACTAAACAGTAAAATAATGTTATCATTTATGAAATACAATATTAAAATAAAAAAGTCACTGGTGTATTAATATATAATTACATTAAATACAATAGTAAACAGTCCTGCTAAAATAAATATTATATATTTATTTATGATGCTTTGTACTTTGTCATTTAATGACCATCTTTTATTGATGCATGTGAATATGGGTGCATATGTCTCAGAGGTCACATGTATGTACATGTTCATTGATATGTTAACTAAATCGTTACTTTTTACACAAAATTATTTTCAATATAATATTTACAAAAACAAATATAAATAAATGTAATATATTTCTTTCGTTATATTAACGCTTTACATAAATGTTAGAATTAATAATAATTACACCACATATCTAGTTACTAGTTTGTTTCAAACAAACTTTTCTCATAAAATATAGATACGCTGCAAATCTGTAAGCCCGATTAATATAAAATTCGTACTTAGTATTTACGTAACATGTACATATCTTTATAAGTTATGAAATGCTTGAATAAATTATGAGATAGAATAATTCATAGACCTGAAACTTTTCTTTGTAATGTGATCCAATCCATGATTTTTTGTTGGAGTTTTCTCTTCTGTAATAAAACTTCAGCAGCTTTTTGAAACTTTTCTTCATTTCTACGTATATACATTCTTGCATCTTGTTCTAGTTGATTGATTTTCTCAGGACGTATTTCTACCATCGATAACATCTCCGTTAAATATGGATTGAATCGGAAGTAAACGTTTTCAGGCAGCAGATCGTTCAACATAATATGCACAGCTACACGGTATATTAAACGTTATTGACGTGTAAGTATATGTTCAATACAAATAGTAAAATAAATATGTTAGAAGTTATTATGCAAAATAATACCTTCGGTATCTGTCGCGCTATCCAAAATTTTATAAAACTTGTCTTTCCAACTTGAAATCGCTATTTCTGTCGCTTTGCTGTTGTCACAAATTTGATTTGGCGTGCGACCAGTTCCGAATGAAACCACACAGTGAATTGGATTATTTGGCCATAATTCTTTAGCTTCATGTAATGCGACTGCACATGGATTGTTTACCAGTATACCTGCATAAAATTAGAGTATTTGAACACTTCACTGTCAGTCTTGTTTTATATGGTTAGGGTTAGGGTTAGGGTTAGGGTTAGGTTTGAAATCTTCAATGATTATGAAATACATTGATATGTACCTCCATCCTGATGAAGGTATCCACCACATTTAAATTCTTCAAAATAACTAGGCGCTGCTGCAGATGCTCTAATAGCTTCCCACAATTTATGTTTATGAGATCCTAGATATAAACTTTCGACTTTATGAGGTAAAGTATAATTTCTGAATACATAGGCCATTACACGTTCTTGGTTTACAACAGCAGATATAGCTGAAAACTAAAAAAAAATAGCTATTGTATCATAGATGGAAGATTTTTTAGTTTCAACAATTCTCAATAAAATAATGCAATATTTTGTTTATAAATAAGAAATAACACACATACTTTTGGACCAGCAGGATCATGAACTGTTTTTATAAGAACTTTGTCTCCTATATTCTCTTGCAGTAATTTTTCCCAGAGCGCTGTATCATAATATCCATGGCTCCATACCAAATTACTCGTACCTTTTATTGCACTTTGAGTAAACACTTTAGTACTTAGTTCCTTGTATAATTCAGATATTTGAAACAACGATTTTCGTTTATGTCCACCTGTAGACAATATTATTAGTAAACTATAAGTAAAATGACAAATGGTAAATAATATTAAATTTTAAAAATAGATGTCGATGATTATTGTAATCAAACAAGCATACTATATACATACCTAAAGCAGCAGCAAGAATAGCTCCTGTACTCACACCGCATATGTAATCAAACAGTTCATGAGTTTTCTTGCCTGTCAATTGCTCAAGTTTTTTTAACATTTCTATAACTAATACTCCACGCACACCCCCACCATCAATGGAAAGAATTCTAATACCTCTGCCAGGCAAGGGTTCAGTATAACCCAATACTGCTAATGCTTCTCTAATAGATGCTGTGAAGTTTAAAAGCATTCAGGATACTCTTCCTCGTATAGTTAACAAGATAATGTCTTTAAATCATCGTATACCTTTTGTTTGTTCATCTTTAACCTTTCGTCTAGTTTTAAGCAATACTCTTATCGCTCCTCCTTTAATCGCATAATGTCTAGCTTCTGGATATTGATCAATGTGTGCTAATAAATCTTCGATCCTTCTCCAACGTGAAGCAGTTGATTCAGCAGTTATTATACTATTCAAGACATGATTTGTTCTAGACGTAATACTGTGTTTTGGTATATCTTTGTGAATATTTACTTTCCACTTTGGTGGTACAACTAATCTGGCTGTTTTACTTTGTACAGAATTAAATATCAGTGCACCAAGAAACTCAGAAATAATTTGTGATACTGCTTTGTTTTGAAGTTTACTCTCTTGTATATTATCTTCATGAATTTGCTAAAAGAATCGTCGAATATAAGGAAAATAAGATCTTTGAGTATGTCGCATATTATCCAAAATATATTACTTACCTTTTTACATTGAACAGAGCTGGTAGTTAATGTCTCTTCTTCTGGAACATTCAGTATTACCTTCTCTTTTTCTATTTTACTAATGTCGCCTTGTTTTGTAGCTAAATCTTTATTATTATTCATATGTTTTGAAAATTCAAGTGCTGACAACTTCTTCAAAGTATTTATTTGTGAATATGTTACTCTTTGTAGAAAATCTAACCAATATTTGGAGAAGATAATTTGCAAATTCTTATCATACCCAGCTTTGTTTAAATAATCTTTCAATTGCGATAAAATCTTCGAGTGATTTTGCATGGACATCTTCATTTTCCACAAAGTACGTAAACGATTTAATAATTTATTTTTATCAACACTTCCACTATAACCTTTACCAGTAGCACTATCTGTCAACTGTCTGTAAGTACAAAGAATTAAACATTTATGTATTTATCGCGAGAGCAACAATTAACAATATAAATAATTAATAAATATACTAAGTAAGTATAATTATAAATAAGTAATCAATCAACGTGTTTTCATGTTACGTACGATTGTTCATAAAATGATAAAAATAATTAACTTTTGTAAGTTGTACACACTACAAAATATGATGCAAAATGATTTGGTAATTGCTTAAATTAGATGACGAATTTTTGCGAAGCAAACTCATTGGACAAGTGTAACTATTATTAATTTAACTTTATACATTAAAGCACAAACACAAGCGCATGTGCGTCATGTTATATAAATAACAAAATGGTACAATTAAGACTGGGAAAGGAACTAGAAAGATAATTTTTTAATTATAATAATTCTTGAACAGAGGAATACAACTTAACGTTCCATAGTTTACCTTGACAAAAGGAGAAACTTTTGACAATATTTCACACTGTAATAATATGTTATAACATTTCGTGTCATTCTTGATTTGTTTCGTTGTATGAACGATGAGAATATGGGAATGATAAAAGTTTATCACACTAGCGATTATCGATTTGCTGAAAATTTTGCAAAACGATTCGTAAAAATTGCTGATACCGATTTCCTTTTCTGCAATAGTTTTAACTTCGTTATTACGAGTTCATTTACCGAATCATCTTGAAATACTAAATAGACAATAGCTGATTCTACTTATATAAAGAACTGCTGACGCAGTTAGAGGGGCTCGTTTTGTAAATAATATGGCCCGATACCAGCCCACCAATAAGATTTGTTGATAACCATGTACCAACTTGACTCTCCAATATCAATACACCGACGAGGATAAGTGTCGCGTGTTACCAATATTGTTTACATCTTTGTTTACGATCTTCGCACGTAAACATAATAGTGTTTATGTTACAGGTCTGGGTAATTGTACGCGAAATGCATTCCGCGATCAGTTGAAGAGAACAGCGATGAATGAAAGCATTTAGACATTGTTTTTGTTTATCATCGGTGAGCCATAAAGCTTATTCGACTTCCATGCTTTATTATTCTTCAAATTCATAACAAAATTCATTAATGAATTGTTTATTAACTTTTCTTTTCAACTACTATTTAAGCAGTAACATAATATCGCAACTAGGGAATATAACTATTTTAAATCGTACGACAGTAGCGCTCTTATGATGGAATGATAGAATTATATTAAAAGTTTGAATTCGTCAGCTCTAAAACAATATATATTTTTAGAATACTTTCGTTTGTTACTTAGTACAAACTGTGCTAAGACGTCCAAAGAATATCTTTTTATCTCGACGTAAAGATAGTAAGAAGCGAGCAATAAATAAGACATGTCTTACGACTGTATAAAATATTAATACTTTATTTTCCATTCGAGTGTGCGTCACACTACGCACTGTGGGATATGTACAAAGTTTGTCGTACCGAAGCTTTCACTTTCGCCTGGTACAACCAATCGCGCACCTATCGATTAAAAATCATATTTTTACGTGCTAGGTTTAAAAAGTAACGCATAAGTGTGATTGTTACATCCATCTTGATTTTTCATAACTCTTTGTTTTCATTCTTCTGCACACTCTTTCGCCGTGAGTGAGATTTAAAAAAAAAAAAAAAAAGCTACACATGCTGTTTCGAGCGGTGTATGCGGTGTCTGAGGTATATCAGTGGTATGTCTATTGCGTTGCTTTACTGCGAACGAAAAAATCGGGGAAAACAACCGACGAAATCTACGAAATGAGAAAACAACATATGTAATAGTATGTATAGCGATCGATGCGAGTTCGTCATTGAGCGCGTGCACTATTATTTTCGTCCGTTGAATCTGGCAGTGAATCCTCGTTAAAGAGGAAAATTGAGCTTCGATCTCTTCTTGGTACGAGCTTCGAACGTGTCTATTGATATACGCGGAGCGTGGCTAAGATTAGGATCGCTGAGAGGAAGCGTAATCACGTGACGTTGAATGAAGCGAAACTCTGTACTCGCATCGAACGAAGGAAAAAAAGAAAAGAACATAATCGGATTCTCGCGTGTTCCACGATTATTCGTGGAAGTAGGAAACAAATTAAAGAATTTCTGTGGCGCTAGATTATTTTTCGTTCGGTGATATTAAAGAAGGAAAAGAGTGTCGCAAGCTCGTCGTGTTCTTACTAAGCTAAAACAGGGGCGGAATAACGGGGTTGTTCGACTGGAACGAGACGCGATTTAGGAACAGGCTCGCAACCTAGGATCACAGATCTCCGAACAGTTCTATTTTATGACAAGTGCAACTACTTTACCATCCTTTCGGTTTTTCTTCTTCGCTTTTGGAAATTATTTTACTACGTATTTGTATACATGCTTATATCTATACTGTTAATAATTTGCCCTTTTTTAGGATTCGTCCATTCGTAATTACACGATACATAGTGTTATTATGTAACAAAATAACGAAGAATATTGCGTAAATGAAGCAAATAAATGTCGATGCAGATTTATATCAGAAAACTAATATAATGGTAAAACACCAAGAGACACGAATCTCGAAAAATTAACGTAAATAAATTCGATATTATAAGAACTTTAATAAATCAATCTAAATGCCACGTACACATACAGGGACCTTTAAAACGAAACAGAAAGTTTCTTCACAAAAGATCGTTTAAAATCGATGCTAATAACTATTTTCACGGATCCCAAATCGAAAAAGGAAATAAAAGACAAATTAGAAGACGACTATGTAAACATATGTAATGTCCTACTACGCATATAGCCAATATACTATTAATAAAATAAAGGTCCATAAAAGAACCACCACGATAAATTCAACAATTAAATACGATTCTATACGTTTCTAACAAACGGCTATAAACAAAGTAACGTTTTTAGTTTTCCTCCGGAATTCCTTCGAAATTTATAAATTTCCTCGAAGAACTTTAACTTCTAGCTAATATAATATAATAAATTTCGAATGGACGATTGGCGAAAAAAAGAGGCAAACTTTGAAGAAGTATTTCTTCAAACCTCGAATTTCGATCGAACGTACAAGAAAATCTGGGACCCTGCATCAAGGCACCGTCATTTTCGGTTTACAATTGCCCGATGTAGCTCCGATGCGTCCCTCCCCCGTCTCTCGACAATGATCCCATTCTTCCAAGGTACACAATGATACGTGTTTAAAATATACAAATATATATGTACATATACGTATATACATTTATTTGTATATATACGATACATAGTATACGATATATATACAGATACATGTATATATTAGAAGTGCGTGCACAGAGAACGCATTATCGTACGCTAGTAGTACAAGTATGAAAAAGGTCAGCCATGCGTACACCAGACTGCATATCATTTGCTTTTTCTTTCTTTCTTCTCTTTTATATTATTCGATCTCTCTCTACGTTGTACTAGGATTTGGTTACTTGAAGAGTATGTTACTAACTAGGTTTCGTTCTGTGGCACTGGGCTATTTCTGCCATTTTCTTGTGTTCTGTTTTTTTTTTTTTTTTTTTCTTTATCGTTTTCTTACTTCTTAGTCGGAATGCGCAGATTGATTTTCATTGAGAGCGGACGAAACGCGTGTACCTCTTCCCGCCCTGTTCTCCTCTTAGCAAGTTCTTCTTTTTATTCTCTTCGTAGGATAGGTTCGTTTCGTTCGTTTTTCAAGTTCGAGGGAAGAAGAGGAACTCGCGTTCCCCGAACTCTGGTCTCCCCCTCTTTTTCTCTCCTTTACTCTACTCGACGCATTTTAAGTACTAATGGGTTCGTAGATTATTTATCTTTTTACTATTTCCTTTTTGTTTCTTTTTCGATGAACATTGGACGCTAGCCTCAACTACCGTCGTTCGAGCTGTTTCCATTTTCACGACATTAGACATTGGGATTTATATTATTTTCTCTATTTTTATCGTTTTGGTTTTGCGTCGGATAATATTCTGCTTCAACTACTTGGCAATCTAATTATACGTACATACAGCGTAGATTAAGGAGGATAGATTGATTAAACGTTTATATTTCGTCTTCTAAAAGGGAGTTTATGTGTATAATAACGTTAAATACGTTGGATGAACGATAGTAGTTGAGGTTCAACACTTCTGGTGCTGTGGATCTGTGCGATGAGAATCTCTCTTTTTGGTATTTCTTTTTCTTTCTTTTGTTCCTTTTTTTTTTTTCTTTTTGTGGTTTGGAGTTACAAATTTGGAAAGGGGTGATTTATGTACAAAGACCTAAATTCGAAAATTTCCCTTTAATCGTTCTAATTTTAAGAATTTCACGCATTTCGAATAACAATCGATGACTTTATAAAATACACGGATATCAAATTTCATTGTTTTCGAGTATTCAAATTCTTATTTAGACTACCTTGTCCTAATTAGTAATTGAGACGTATTACATCTTCTGATTTTGTACTTTGAATCTTTCTTCCAAATGCCTGTTTCTCGAACGAACACGAAAAAGACATTCGCTATAATATATAAATGAAATTTCTATAAAATCTCATTCAGCGGTTCCATGCACTTCTGGCAAACCCACAGAATAAAAATCACAGCACCAAAATAGTTCAATTATTAGACAACGTTTAAACGTCCGATTCTACTCGTATTTAAACTCCTCGTCCAATTTCTCTTTCTCGATTCTATCGCACTGCCACGTTACTCGACACTCTATCTTACACGGACTACTGTGTTAACTTTTAATAGTACGCCTCGTATAGCTTTCCTACATATTTACAATCGCGGTTTTGGGAGAAGAATAGCCAAATGCAGAGTGCTGGTTTCGAGCGTGCAAAGATTAGACTGACTCGGTTTAACTATCAAAGTCATCCTTTTATCAAGTTCTTTAAAAAAAAAAAAAAAAAAGAAACTCAAGGATCAGCAGAAATTATTTTAGCCTGTCTGGCTAGCACAGACAGTAGAAATTCCATACTAATTCGCTATTTTGTCATTTCTGCGATGTTTTCTTTAATAGAACGAATAGCATCGCGCGTGATAGTTATACGATACATGCTACAAGAAGCCATCGTAAATCAGCTTTATGATATGCATAATAATATGTATTTACATATTAATATATCAAAAAGAGTTAAAAAGATGTAATCTGAAATGCATATACCAGCAGATTTACTTTCAGTAAAAAGTTATTTATAAATCTTTTTTGGAATTTCGAAACCCTCTGGTTACGCCGTTGAAGCTTTTCTTCCCCATTTTTTCCTTTTTTTTTCTTTCTTTTTTGCTTACGAAAAATTCGGCACACACGCATGTACACGCACGTATAACCCACACATCCACACACCGCGCATCATCGAACGTTCACAAATGCACATCGGGCGTGGCACAACCGATCTTAGGAACCGAGTGGAATAAGCGACGGGTTGTGCCGCAGCTCTCGGAAGGAAAAAACACATTTGGATTAACAATTATTGTAAACGTAAATACAAAAAAACAAAAGGGAACTATATTTTCCTTTTTCTATCTACTACTCTAAAACGCTTCCCTATTCCATTCGACATCTCGCTGTAATAAACTCGCACGCGCGATCAACGTTTTCCCTTTCTTCGTACTCCTCCTCCTTTCTCTCGTATCATACTATCTCTCTTCACTCGCGCGCAAGCACACACCTCGTGTATATATAATGTGTACATATATATATATAACTTTTCTCGTATGTATACCTATGTACAAAACACTACATGACTGGATTTGACTATATGAACTTTTTATTCCTTGTTTTCTGTATTTCTTCTCTCCCCTCTTTTGCTTTTCTTTCCTCTTCTTTCTAGCCTTATAGAAAAGAATCGGTCCGCATTTTCTTGTTCTTTCTTTAACGGTTTTCTCTAATTTTCTAAACGATACACGAAATTGGCGCGATAGCTTCGTCGTCCGGCTACTAAAAGTTAAGTGTACAATTCTATTGCGAAATAGATGCACAAAGCGTATTGCATAGCCTTCCCTCAACGGCACGCCTTCCGGTTTCCACTTTTCTAATTCTACTTCTGGTCTCTGTTCTCCTTCGACCATCATCGAAATTATCGTCGAAGCGTTTCATATCTCTTGCTACATTTCGGTCTCTCTCGAAGGTGCTACTAGAATCGCATGTTTTATTCTTTTTATTCGTTTTATTTCTCACGTTCGAGTAATCTCAGTGTCTCTCTTTTAACGATACGTTTATCTCTTTCTTCTTTTAACAAGATTTAACCGTTGAGTTTTAAATTACACGCAGTTTACTTTTGTTCCTTTTTCCTCCGATACTCGTCGATCTGTTATTAACCTTTCGCAGATCAGTTTCTTTTCTTCTTTTCCAGCCTCGAATTAACGCGAAGCGAATCCGATCGAAAGCTGACATTATCGTGAAAGTTGCCGAACGTTTCGATATCGTATGCAGAAAGAACATTGCATGATAATTACGTGAATGTTTCGGGCGGGGAGGGGGG